TTTAAGGAAAAAAACCCTCACCTGTTGGATCAGGCCAGGTCACCTCACAAGACATGGCATGAGGACCCCTGGGAACCAAGTAGTAACCCGAAAGCCGCCTGCTCATGCTTCCCTTGATTTAAGCTGGTTATTGACCAGTGTTCTTTCCCCAGAAGCATCATTTGGTTCAAGACCTTATTACATTCTAATGTAATCCAGAGTTATGCTTTTAAATTTTTAAAATATTGTATTATTACTCTGTGTGTGTGTGTATGTGTATGTGCATGTACATGTGCACGCACAGGGATACATATGTGTGTGTGTGCACCAACTATGATATGTTTGTGAAGGTCAGTGGACAGCTCTTGGAAGCCAGGTCTCTCCTTCTACCATATGATCTGGGATCAAATCCAGGCCACCGGTTTTACCTAGGAAAATACTTGTATGTGCTGAGCCAGCCATCCTGGCTGCCCGAGTTCTGCTTTTCAAAAGTCATAATTGAGAGACGTGTTAGTGCCTTTCTCCTTTCTTTCTGCAGTGAGCGGATGACTTCTTGGGTCATACCTGGAACTCAGGTGTCCCTTGGATGGACAGCCTACAGCTCCTCTAACTTGTTCCTTGCTGTTGTGTCCCCAGGGGTAGATTTCCCACCGAATGGGAGTCAGCAGAGCTTCCTTAGTCTTTCCAGGCGAAGCCGTCCACCCCTGTAAGATGTGGTCTGGATTGCTCTTTTTTGTTTGGTTGGTTTTTTGTTTTGTTTTGTTTGTTTGTTTGTTTGTTTGAGACATGATTTCTCGTGTAACCCTGGTTGTCCTGGAACTTGCTCTGTAGACCAGGCTAGTCTCAAACTCACAAAGATCTGCCTGCCTCTTTCTCCTGAGTCCTGGGATTAAAACTGTGAGGCACCACTGCCAGCCAGGACTACTCTTAACCAAATGGTTTTAGATATGGAACCGAGCCGATCTGGGAATCTGTTGCTTTGGCAAATCTTCCAGTTATCAGATTCCCATCGTTTTAAATTAATCCATTTGAGCATCAAGATGGAGGAAAAGCTTTGGTTCTCAGTGTATGCCGGCGCCTTACCCCTCCATTTGCCTCACCGGCCTCTGCCCTTGTTCACAAGCTCACTGTCTTCAGAGGAGAACCAGGCTTTTCCTCTGCATCTCCCACCACACTCACCCACTTGACTCCCCAAGTGGAGGACCGCACACCCTGGCAGCACTGCCGTTCCCCTGGGCCTACATCCTCTCTGTTGTGGGGCAGTCACCGGAGAGACGGCTCAGACACAGGTTTAAGTCAGTAGAAAGTCTTTATTAGCCAGCCAGCGACTACACTGGGTATTTGGGATTCCATGTAGCCCCGAGCCTTTCTCAGGGTGAGCTTTTAAGCATAAAAATCATGTGCTGGGTTGACACACTTCAGTTAACAAGAGTAGTTAGCCGGATGTGGAACTACAGATGCCAAAAAGCAAGGTTTACATTTAGAGACTTTCTCAGAACGATGGACTTTGATGGATTAGGTCTTTGTTTTTAGATTGGCAGGTGGTGCTGTCTACATGCTGAGCGTCACAGCCTGAATGGCACTTCCATCATGGAGTCAGTCGTGCTAAGGTCTAGGACCCTGTCACACCACTAAGTTTGAGCTGCTCGGCTCTCCAGTTTCTGTGGGATAGATGCAGAGACATGCCAATGACGGTTTCACTTGTATTTCTGTAATTCCTCATTGGGACTTTTAATCCATCTGTGCATGCTCTGTTAAATTGCTGAAATCAATCTGGTTCGATTTCCGCAGCATCCCTTGCCCTTTTGGCTCTCTTCTCTAGCCAGGCACCAGCTCAAACTATTTTTCTAGTTTCTTGTTCTTGGCCAACTACTTGAAGCACAGGCAGAAGCATGTCCTGTCTCTGTGAGAATCGCCTGCAGAATCCTTACTAAACAGAGATGTGCAATTTTCTTTACATTATGTGAATATATGTAGCTATGACTGGTTTAATAAGGAAGCTGACTGGCCAATAGTTGAACAGGATAAGATTGGGTGGGAGAGCCAAACTGAGACTTTTGGGAGGAAGAAGGGCAGAGTCTGGAGTCACAAGCAGATGCAGAGAGAAGCAAGATGGGCATGCCATTCTGAGAAAAAAGCATGAGAAATATGGGTTAATTGAAAACGTAAAAGTTAGCTAGTAAGAAGCCTGAAGTATTAGCCAAACATTCATAATAAATATATAAGCCTCAGTGTGTTTATTGGGGAGCTTCTAGTGGTACAGAAACTCCATCTACACAGATTCCTCAAAGGGGGCTGTAGAGATGGCTCAGCAGTTAAGAGTGTTTCTGTTTTTGCAGAGGGTCTAGGATCTGTTCCCAGACTCCTTATCTCCATATCTTACCCCAGAGACCCAAGGCTCCTCTGGGTTCTAAGCTTTGGCCTTCATCACCCACTCCACCCCCTCCAGTGTCCAGCCCCCACTTCATGTCCCCAACACCCAGATCCCACTCTGCTCAGCCTGGGACTTACTCAAGGGATCCACTGTCTTCCTATATGGGTTAGTTTTGCTGACTTGAACAAGCAAGGTCAGCTAGAAAGGAAACCTCAGTGGAGAAAAGGCCTCTGTCAGACTGGTCTATAGGCAGCTCTTTCGGGCCTTATTAGTATATTTCATCATCATCATATTTATATTTCTTTATTATTATTGGTCAGACAGAGTCTCACTGTGTAGCTCTGGCTGTTCTGGAACTCTCTATGTAGACCAGGCTGGCTTTGAACTTACAGAGATCTACTTGCCTCTGCCTCTTGGATGTATGTTTTAAAGGTGTGCACCACCACACCCAGCAGTGGGGCTTTTTCTTGATTGATGATTGATGTGGGAAGGGCCCAGGCCTGTAGCACGAATTCTAATTGGTATAAATAATAAAAACTCGGAGTCCGCTATCAGGGGTGGAGCTGAAGGACCAGAAAAGCAGAGCGGCCAGCCACTAGAGAGCTCCTACCACTACCATTATTCAGACCAAAGGGGCGAGCCTGTCTCCATGAATCCTCAGACTGACTGCTGTCTCTATGAAACCTGAGACAGAATGCTCACATGCTCAGACTACCTTGAGCTCCTGTCTCCTCCCACCTTATATCCCTCTCTCCACCCAGCCATACCATTCCCGTCTCCACCTCCCTAGTGCTGGGATGAAAGGCATGTGATTCCCAAGTGCTAGGGTCACCTTTGTGTGAGCTCTGGTTTTGTTTTAGACAAACAAAAGCGTGGCCTTTGAGCTCACAGAGATCTGTCTGCCTCTGTCTCCTGAGCGCTGGGATTAAAGGTGTGTATCACCACTGCCTGGCCTGTATAGCTAACTAGTTGCTTAGCTCTGCACTTTGATCTTCAGGAAAGCTTTATTTGTTAGATCACAAACAAAATATCACTACACAGGCCACTGTGGACAGCAACCCCCTGGGCAGGTGGTCCCTGTAAAGTGTAAGAAAGGTAGCTGAACATAGCCTGACAGCAAGCAGTGAGCGGTGTTTCCCTACGGGTCCACTTCAGTTCCTGCCTTGACTCCCTGCTCTGACTTCCCGCAATGGTAGACTATGGTAGGAACTCATAAGTCAAATAAAACCCTTTCCTCCCCCAGGCTGGGTTAGTTTGGTTGATGTTTCGTCCCTGAATGCCAAGCCCTTGGCACTTTCACACACAGACCTCTTTGTGTTTGGAGGTTACTTCCCAAACTCCTGTCTAATTTCCCTCCTGGGCTGTGAGCTGGGGAGCCACAGCGCATCTTGTATCTTACTCCGCCTGTCCACTCTGCAGCCCTGTAAACAAGCAAGTGGTTGTGTAACAGTCTGGGGGAAGGGCATGTGAGCAAGAAGAAAGAGAAGATGAAAAGAGAGTATGCTAGGAATATGTTTTATTATCATTGGTTAATAAAGAAGCTGTTTCCGTCTATAGCAGGGCATAAGAGAGAGAGAGAGGCAGAGAGACAGAGAGAGACAGAGACAGAGAGACAGAGAGACAGAGAGAGAGAGAGGAGAGTAGGCAGAGACGCCTTGTAGCTGCTGAAAGAAACACGCCAGAACCTTACCTTACCGGTAAACCATGAGCCTCATAGCAATGCATAGAATAATAGAGATGGGTTAATTTAAGATATAAGAGTTAGTTAATAAAAATCCTAAGCTAATAGACCAAACAGTGTTTTAATTAATTAAGTTTCTGTGTGATTATTTCAGGTCTGCGTGGCTGGGAAACAAATGAGAAGCCTCCGACCATCCACTGGCCTAAGGATGGGGCATGGAAACGTGTGAGAACACCCCCAGCTCCTAAAGGGAATCGGGAGTTGTTGGGGGGCACTGTTTAGATGTTCTCTGGTTATGGGAATCAGGAGTTGTGGCTGAGGAACACCCTTAGATGGGGTAGCGGAGACATCTTAGAAACCAGAGGAAGAGGAGAGTCGTTCAGTGACCGAGCAGCGCAGCGTTAGATGCTCTGAAAGCCATGGCACAAGGCAGTTACCCCCAACTACCAGCTCCTCTCCTCCCGCTCCTCAGGCTTTTGCTCCCTACTCAGGGAACAACCATCTTGTGGGCTGAACGGGAAAAGCCACACTGCCCTCCTGAGAGCCACGCAGCCAGGCTTTGCTGGCTTCGCCAGCCCCTCGTCTTGATTCCTCCTGGATGCAGCTTGAGAGGTTGCCAGGACGATATCATTTCCCCACACACCCCTGCCCCAGCCTTTTCTAGTCAGCTCAGCTCCTCTGACATCCCTTTCCTCTCTCTATCGTGAGAACAGAAATGGCTTTTCATCTATCAAAGGGATGTGGCCTCTATTCCGTATAACTACAGTAGTGGTGGACATATCTCAAGTCTAAAATTCAGATCAGGGAGTAAGGTGGGGTTAAATAGTAGGAAAATACTGTGATTGGGGTGTTTCAGTCTCTAGACCAGTGGTTCTCAGCCTGTGGGTCATGACCCCTTTGACAAACCTCTTATCTCCAAAATATATTTACATTTATGATTCATAACAGTAGCAAAATTACAGTTATGAAGTAGCAATGAAAATTATTTTATGGTTTGGGGTCACCACACTGTGAGGAACTGTATTAAAGGGTCACGGAGTCAGGAAGGTTGAGAACCACTGCTCTAGGCCTTGGTGTGGTTTCCAAAGTGGGATTGAGGATGACCCTGTTAGGCCACAGGCTCCAAGAAGGCACAGTGAGGAAAGATGAAGAGACACTGGGTGAAGCAGGCCTCGCTCCTCCCTACCCTGGAGATGCAGCCCTGTCCCTTACATTAGCTTCAGACATTCAGCTCCCGCTGCCTCCAGAAGTCACTTGTTGAGGCTTCTGGATCTATTTGCTGCACTTAGGGCCCAGCAGCTTGAGCCTCAATAGACACAACGACCCTCATGGAACCACAGCTTGACTTTAACTCCCACTCCTGACTGGAATTGTAAGCCATTGCCGGGGTGTCCGAGCCCTGTCTGGAAGACAGCTGGATGCTCATCCTGCGACACTGGGCCTCCTCACAGGCGAGGACCACAGTGCCCTCAGGGTTGCTATAAATGCACTGGCTGCGGGCTGCCCTCCCCTCCACTGACAGATCCCAACTGCCCACTGGCTCCCTGTCATCCAGCCCCAGGGCCAGGAAGCCCAAGTGGCCCGGGGTGACAGGGCACACCAGCTGCTCCTTCTTCAAGCTGGGCACCAGCTGGTCCTTAAGGTAGGCTGGGCCTGCGCAGTAGGTACGGGTGTTGAGGATCCGGTCGCTGTAGAGGCGGAGCCAGCTCGTGAGGTAGGTCAAGTGGCAGTCACACTGCCAGGGGTTGCCGGACAAGGCCAGGTTGAAGAGGTCATAGTTAGTGTCAAAGATGCCCCCAGGGAGCATGGTCAGCTGGTTCTTCGACAAGTTGAGCTGCTCAAGCCTGGACAGGTTCTGAAAGAGGGCCGGGTGCAAGGCCGTCAAGTTGTTGTTGTTCAAAAAGAGACTGACCAAGTGCTCGAGGTCCCTGAAGACATCCTCGGGAAGGTGTGTGATGGCGTTGTGCGCAAGCGTGAGGGAAACAAGGCGGGACAGGTTGGCGAAGGTGCCCTCGGCGATGGCCTCCAGCTGGTTGTGGGACAGAGACAGGTGGAGCAGCCCTGGGTTGTGGGTGAAGAGGGTGGGAGGCAGAGCCCGCAGCGCGTTGCCCTGCAGGTTGAGATAGGTCAGGTTGCGGAGGGAGGAGAAGACGGAGGCCGGCAAGCGTCGGATGCCATTGTGCTGCAGCCACAGGTTCTCCAGGCGGAGGAGCTGGGAGAACGCCTGTGGAGACAGCTCCGTGATGCCGTTGCTGTCCAGAAAGAGTTCCTGCAGGCTGCCCAGATTGCCCAGCAAGCCCTCGGGGAGGCTGGAAAGCATGTTGTTACTCAGTTTCAGTGTCTGCAGGTTGCTGAGTGACTGGAACAGCCCCTTCGGGAGCTTGCTCAAAAGGTTCTGCTCCAGGTTGAGGGTTCTCAGGTATATCAGGGGCTGAAACAGTCTCCCAGGCAGAGTCTGAAGCTGGTTTCCCTGAAGCTGAAGCGACTCCAGGTTGTCCATGTGGTGAAAGAGGTCCTCAGGCAGAGCCACCAGCCTGTCGAAGTCCAAGGTGAGCTTCTCCAGCGAGCTCAGGTTAGAAAAGATATTGGCACTGAGATTGAAGAAGGGGCTGCCTGTCACCTCCAGGTCCACCAGGCTGGGCAGTCCCCCAAAGGCATCGGGCTCCAGGTGACGGACCTGAGTGTTGAGGAACACCACCTTGGTCAGGTTGCGGCTACTGTTGAAAGCCCTGGTCCCCACTGTGGTGAAGGCGGTCTCCATGAAGACGATGTTTGTGACGTGTGAGGGGATGTCCGGTGGAATGGTGGCCAGCTGCTCATCCGAGCAGAATACCTCTCTGTCAAAGCAGTCACAGCCCACAGGGCAAGGCTGGGTGGGCCTGGTCAGGAGCAGGAGGGAGGCCCAGCACAACCAGACTCCTGGGAACATCTTCTGGATCCAAGGATGACAGAAAACAAGACAGAAAGAGTGCCTTTAATAAGGGCATCACACCGCAGTGCCCAGAGCACTGGAAAGTGACCACCACCCCACTCAGGACAAGCTCAGGCTGCAAGCAAGAATTGGCCTCTTCAAGGAGGCTATGGTTTTGGCAACAGTTGCTTGTGTGATCCATTGCTGGGGACAGAACCCAGGACTGTATATGCCAGGAAAGCTTTGGCACTAAGCCCCAGTCCCAGGCTGTGTTTTGAGCACCTTGTTCAAACCAATTACAGACGGTAGTGGCCCAATTCTTAGTTCCTGGAAGCAAAAGTGTCAACCACATCGCCTGCCCAGGTACCCTTCAAGTTAGTGGTCATGACAAGAGTAAGACCTGGATCTTCTAGAGTGTCTGTGTTCTTCCCAGATTGGAGAATGATATGCAAAGAGAAAAAAAAAAAAAAACAAGGGAGAGGGGCACAGGCTGTGTGGAATTATTAGGGATAATAAGTAAAATATAGGCAAATTAGCCCTAGATTAGAGATTTCTAACCCATAATCCTTCTTGATTTCCAGATCTCAGCATACTTCAGGGCATGGCTAAGAGGGGTCCCTACACCCTGCTCTTAGTTGGGTCTGCTAAGGGTGACACAGTGCAGGAACTGGGCTCCTCAGAACAAGCCCTTGCTGCCTTGCCTGTCCCCCGTGGTTCCAATATCAGGGAACCTCCTAGGGTCCAGACACAAAGGCTTTACAGGAAACTCAGGGAAACCAAGCTGCATTTACTATGTATTCATTAAAAAAACAAAAAGGTCGAGCTGAGCAGTGGTGGCGCGTGCCTTTAATCCCAGCACTCGGAGGCAGAGGCAGGCAGATCTCTGTGAGTTTAAGGCCAGCCTGGTCTACAGAGTGAGTTCCAGGACAGGCTCTGTAGCTACTGAGAAACCCTGTCTCAAAAAAACAAAAATAAATAATTAAATAGTCTAGGATGGTGGTCCACACCAGTGTGCGCACCAATCACAGCACTCTGGATGCTGGGGCAGAGATAGGGCAGGAGTTTTAGTTGGAAGTTGGAAGTTTTAGGCTAACCTCGGCTACCTAATAAGCTCCTGCCAACTTGGGCTGTCTTGAGAGGTGCTGGCTATAAACAAACTACAGAAGACGCCGTCAGCATCTACTAACAGATCACAGACGAGTGTTACAGGTCCCCAGTGCGTTTAGTTTAGTCCTTGGTGGACTTGCAGGTCACCCATAAAAACTGGGACTCCCATATAGAAAGTCCACATTTCAGAATTATCTAGAAACAGGAGGTTCACCTTCCCACCCGGCAAGACCAACCGGGCGTCAGCAGCACCTGCCCATCAGAAGACAGGCACTCTGCGAACCACAGGGGGATCTTCTCCCCTGTTCACATGACTTGTGGAGGTTCCAACCCCACGAGTACAAATCCCAGGTTCATGACTTTCTAGTCGAGTGACCTGAGGCGTGTTGTTATCTGTGCCTCAGCTTCCTTATGTGCAGGCTGGGGATAATAACAGTCCTGACCACAGCAGTGACTGTGAGTACTGGTTGAGCATGCTCAGATCAGGGGCACGGAATGAACGTGTAATCAGGAAACTATGCTGACTGTTAGGTTAAAAGGCGCCGTCATTACAAAAAAGACTATTTGAACAATAACAGCGAAAATATTTTATAACTAGAATACGTGTGACTTCACAGAAAAAAAAATTTAAAAAAATTAAAAAATAAAAGTCAAAGAGGCAAGAAAATACTCTGGCTGTTTCTCTGCTGCCCTCTGCTGGCGGTCAGGAGTGGCGCCTGCAGACTCCGTTGGAGCTCCGCAGGCGGGAGGAACAGCTTGCGGGCAGCCACCCTTCGGCTCTACAGACCCTCGCTATCAGCGGGCTGGGAACGTGGTCTAGAGAGCTCCTGAGAATAAGAGGCGTGCAGTTCATGCTATTAACGTGCCGAAGGGGATCCAGTTGCCCGTCACCCTTCCTAACTAAAGGTTCTCAAAGGAAGTTTCCAGGAAAAGGTCCCTCATAATAAAAATCTATACAACTCAGGGGATGTAAGGGTTCTGAAGGCCTTTTCACTGGGATAGTAAGTGTGGAGGTTCGCGTGAGAATGGCCCCCCATGGCTCATATATTTGAATGTTTGTTTCCCAGCTGATAGACGGCTTAGGGAGGATTAGGAGGTGTGGCCTTGTTGGAGGAGGTGTGTCAGTGGCGCCCACATCAAGCCCAGTTTCTCTTTCTGTCTGCTGCTCGTGAAGCAGATGTGTGAGCTCTCAGCTACTGCTCCAGCACCCTGCCTGCCTGCCGGCTGCCATGCTTCTTGACCTGTGATCACAGACTCACCCTCTGAGACTGTAAGCAGGTCCCCAACCAAACGTTCCCTTACAGAAGTTGCCTTGTTTGGTATGTCTCTTTGCAACAATAGAACAGCAATGAAGTCAGTGACACAAGCCAGGAGTCCCTCCGCAGACCACAGGCCTCCTGGCCTTGCGAGTCTACTCAGCCCTTCAAGATTCAAATGAAAAGAGACAAGGGCAGACAGAGGGTGGAAAAACTCTGGACCTGTAACTGTGAGGAGCGAGCCTGTCTTCCCTATCCATTTCCTGTCTGATAGGAAAGCCATGTGGGCTCAGTGAAGACCCTTAGAACACAGGTGTGGTCCTAACTCCAACCCCTTAATGTCTGAGTCACTTGCTGTGGGAGTCCTGGTTGCCCTGTGCTGGGCTTCTCCAGGCTTCTCTAAGGAGCAAGTTGCATGTCTGAGAACTTTGGGAGTGGGGAAAACAGCGAAGCGCAGAGAGGTTGCACAATCTAGCTAAAGTCCACAGCTAATCAGGATTAGACCCATACTGTCTAGCTACAGAGTGCTAGTTCTTGGTTACTCTGGAATGGGAACGAGCCTAGGGTTAGGAATGGATCATTTCCTTCTGTCTTCCCATCCCATTCCTGTAGAATGAGACAAGGGGAGTCTTGTCCTAAACCTGGGAGGGCACTGTTCTGGCCCCTCTCCTAAGGCCACTCCCAAAGATTGAGAAGTTGACAAAGCCAAGGGCGCAGGCCCATCTGTATTCATTCTCTGTGCTTCGCTTTCTTCATCATTAAAGCAGTGAGCACTGTTTCCTATGCGGGGTTCTCATGAGGATAAAATGAGGGAATATACAGAAAATCCCAAGCCCAGAGTGGGTGTGTTGTGAGTGATTCGGCCTGAAACTGGCCACAGTTCTCCTGAGCTCAGCAAGGCTCCGCTCTGGTAAGATGTCATCAGAGGTTTGCTGTGGAAAACCTGATGAGCTCATGGGATTTCACCACCAAGGAGCAGAGCGAGCCTTCCACAGCCCCGTTCCTAAGATTTCCTTCTCCATGGAACAGAGCAAGCCCTCCCACAGCCCCGTTCCTAAGACTTTCCTTCTCAGTGACAAGAAAGGCACAGACTCTCAGAGCCTTTCCTTGGGTCCCCTGCTTAGCGGGCACTCCCACCTCCAGAGACAGTGGAGGTCTGCACCAGAGGTCGCAGCTGTGGACAGTGCCTGCTGTGCATCTAGGAAGACCAGGGAATGGCCACGCCCATGCCCCATACTTCAGAAGGTCAAGGGAGGGCATCTGGCCTTTCCTCTAGTCTGAAGTGTGGAGTATTGTCTGATTGTTTAGGCCGACTGGGTGCAAACAGCCTTCATCTTCTCAAACCGCTCTGGGCTCATCTGTGCCCCTGGCTGCTTCCCACACCCGATTGCCTTTCTTCTCTACCCAGCAAACAAATCTAAGGGCTGAGGGTCTCAGGTAGGTAGGTTGGGACTTGCACAGCCGCTCTCTGACCCCCCTCCCCCCACCTCCAGGTCCACTTGAGCCCCAGACAGTAGAGCCAACTCTGCGTTGGTTAATCCAGAACCATGGTGACAATCACAATAGTTACACTTAGAGTGCAACATTATTACTGCTAGTGTGGTACCCAAAGGAGACCACAAGCAACAAACTATCAGAAAAATACTCGCCATGAAGCTGCAGAGATGGCTCAGCGACTAAGCTCTTGCAGAGGACCTGCGTTTATTTTCAACACCCATAATGGTGGCTCACAACTGCCTGTGATTTCAGTTCCAGATTTCAGACCCCACTGCCCTCTTCAGGCTTCTGCATACACACACACACACACACACACGCACGCACGCACGCACGCACGCACGCATGCACACACACACAGGCAGGCACAGTGAAAACAAATCTTTTTTTTTTTTTTTAAGAAATAGAAGCAATCAGGCTGGAAAGATGGTTCAGTGGTTAAGAGCATGTACAGTTCTTGCAGAGGACCCCTCTTCTGCCTCCCGCCAAGCTCAGTTTCTAGCACCCATGTCAGTAACTCCAGCTCTACTGAATCCGATGCCCTCTTTGGCCTCCACAGGTAATTACACTCATGTACATAGACATGCACAGACATAATTGAGTTGTATAGACTTTGGGTCTGGTAAAATTTGATAAGTGATGTTTCTTATGTATTTGCAATTTTCATAATAAAGTTTATAAAATTAAAAAAAGCCCGAATGCCTGTCTCGAAGGCAATTAAAAAGAAAACCCCAGTTTCACCTGTTGATGTCCAGGCTCTCTGAACGATTTTCCAGGTGAATCTAGATGCAGCCAACATTTAAGACCACCGCAATGCTGCCTGCACTTAGGCCCAACACAAGAAATTAAAGAGCTTTGCAATTCTAATGTTTCGTATCAATATTCTTTTGTGTGATGGGTAGAATTTGGGCTATAGGCGCTTAAGCTGAGCAAGTTTCTGTTTGGTTTGTAAAATCAATAAAATCTAATCAGTTCTGAAAAAGACTGTTCTCTCTCTCTCTCTCTCTCTCTCTCTCTCTCTCTCTCTCACACACACACACACACACACACACACACACACCACATGTTTAGTGTTGCCCTCATCCTTGGCCAGAAAATGCTTCTCTCTGCAGGAGTCAGGGGTCAGCAGCTGAAGCAGAGACTCAGAACTGGCCACAGTGCTGATAGTGAGTGATTTGGGTGCTCAGTCACAAATGGGACATCTCTATCAATACCCCCCAAGGCTGAAGGGACATCTCGAAGAGGGGATGTAAGAACTTAAGAGTGTATGAATAGGAAGAAGTGATACGAATTACTGACCTCCGGCCATGACATGGATGTCGCCCTCATGAACCCGCTGCAACTGTGGTTACCGTCACAAGACTGCACCAGATCAAGCCAACAGGATAAGTCAATGTTCCAGCAGGTGTATTGACCAGACTCAGTGGGTCAAGGACATGAAGGTGGGCGGCGGATGTGTGGGGGATACCTTGGGGGAATGAGGAATCTTAGGGACAGACATGACCAAGATACATTGTTTACATGTATGAAACTGACAAAGAATACATAAAAGATTTTCTATTTAAAAAAGTGTCCTAGGACATCTCTTCCTTGGATCTTCTGTCACTCTTGGGAGTTCTTTCTTATTTTTCCTTAATAAATCTACATTGGCTCTGCTTACAATTATGTACGTATTTCTATATATTTTAAAATAATAAACGCATCAGCTTTAAAGTGAGGAACAAGAAAACTGTTTTATAAAATGGAGGTAACTGTGTGAACCACCAGGCAGAGATCCCAGGATCCCCTGGAAGGTGTGAGGCCTGACCCCGCACACAGACGTCAACTCCAGCACCCCACAGTAGAACCTGCTGGTCTGTAGCCCTCAGACCTGGCATCGCAAAGGATCAGGGTAGCTTGGCTCTTTGCTGCATTGGTTTTGTGGGAGAGCTGGCACTTTGACTTAAGAAGGCGTGGGCTGGATGTGTCACCTTCCCACTCGGCCACACTTCCAGCCCCCGAGTAATGCTGCAAATTACCTGTGCCTACCACTGTTCCCCACTGCCTGCTTCTGTCCTTCCCACCCTTCAAGGCCAGTGGCCCCAGAAATCCTTCCCAGACTGCCCCTTCTTCACCTGGCCTGTCACTGCTGTCATTCACTGAGTGCTGGATCCTTCTGTGCTCTAGTGAATTGTATTCCAACTGGACCCCCAGGGGTCAGGGTCCTGAAGGATTTTCACTCCCAGCTCTGCATCCCAGCACCTGGGTGTGGGCTGGGCACGGGAATGTCACTAGGCTGGAGAAATGGAATATGTGTGGCTCTCTGTGGCCACTCCTTAGCTGCCTAATGAAGTGGACAATCACTCGGGTTCTGTCAGCCTAGCCAGATCTGTGTTCAAATTCAGATACTGTACTTACTAGTTGTGTAGACTCCAAAGGTTCTCCTCCCCATCTATCAAAGCCTTAATTTCCTCATTAGAGTCCTAGCCCTTAAAGTTGAAATTTTAAGCAGACAGTATATTTGAAGCACTGTATAGTGACTGGCAAATGGCAAACATTCCTTTTAGTCCTGAAGTGAATGTGAACATCATCATCTAAGCTGGACATGGGATGTAAAGGGGACAGCATTAACTATGCCAGACAACGGACACCAACCAGGGTGGACCATAAACCTGTGACCATGCTGCAGGCCCCCTGTTCACATCAAGTTCCCCGAGAGTCAGGACAGGCCATTGTTGAATCTTCTTGGCACACCTTCTCCACCCCCTCCCAGCCAAGGCTAGCTGATCCACTGAGCGGCTTCTCCTCCCAGGGGACTCAGCTATTGTGGCCTTCTGGGTAAGAGCAGCAAGTCCCTTTGCAGATGTCCCCACATCCCCACAGACCCGGGAGGGAGGCAGGAAACCTACCGTGAGGGGCCGGGCAGTTGGGGCCAGACGCCCTGTGTTTTTCTCAGAAGCAGAGAAGTATTTCATGTGCTCTGTGCCCAGCTGAATCCAGCCTCGGCACTGACCAAAGTCCTGAGAAGGGTTCCTCCCCCTCGTGTGGATTGACTGTTCCCGGAATGACACCAAGGTCACTTGGGCAAGGCCTCTGAAGATTACAAAATGACCCTGAATGGTTCCCATAGACAGATGCCCGGTAGAGCTAAAATCCCAGTGAGACTATATATAGGTTTGGCAGCTCTATGACCCTAAAATGCACTATACCTTAAAAGGTGCCTCCAGAAGCTGGGCGGTGGTGGTGCACGCCTTTAATCCCAGCATTTAGGAGGCAGAGGCAGGCAGATTGTGAGTTTGAGGCCAGCCTGGTCTACAAAGTGAGTTCCAAGACAGCCAGGGCTACACAGAGAAACCCTGCCTCAAAAACAAAAACAAAAGTCCCCCCAGGCTGCATTGCACTGAGATGAGGGGCATTTCATTTCAGAGGTGTGGGCTAAGGAGGCCACCTGCTCAGCATTCAGTACTGCCACTAAGAGAAAGCCTAAAGATGTACTGCTCTCTTCTTAAACACACACAGACACACACACTAGATAGATAGATAGATAGATAGATAGATAGATAGATAATATATATATATATATACATATATATATATATATAGTGTGTGTGTGTGTGCGTGTGTGTTGTGTGATGTAGGCATATGAGAGAGTGAGTGGATGGGTATGTGGGCTTGAAGTGAGCAAGTGAGGGTGTGAGTTAGGGTGTGTATGTGAAGTGAACACGTGAGTGTGAGTGGAGGGGTGTGTAGTGAACATGTAAGTTGAGTTGTATATGCGTGCATTCACTCGGATGTAGTATGTATAATAAAAATGAGAGTGACTGTGTGGTGGGTATGACCGGGTGAGGGATGTGTTGTGTGTGCATATGCATGTAATTAGTTATACGTGAGTGTTCATGAGGTATAGCATGAAGGGGTGACCAAGAGAAGCAATATAATGTCTCAGTGCTGGGAGTCTATCATCCAGTGTAATCTGAAGCTGTTTAACTGTTGTTCATTGTGAAAAACTACTGTGACTTATTACTTCTTTTGCATATGAACAGATGACATCCCACTGTGCACAGTTCTGACCAACCAGTAGGAAGCACTTCCTTTCAGTACAGAAGAAGACAGGAGTCTTTTTGTTTGTTTGTTTGTTTGTGCTTTGAGACAGGATTTCTCTGTGTAGCCCTAGCTGTACTGAAACTCATGCTGTAGGCCAGGCTGACCTCGAACTCAGAGATCCACCTGCCTCTGTCTCCCGAGTGCTGGGATTAAAGGCATGCACCACCACCACCCAGCTGACAGGAGTTTTTTTTTTTTTAAAGATTTATTTATTCATTTATTATGTATACAGTGTCCTGCCTGCATGTACATCTGCAGGTCAGAAGAGGGCACCAGAGCTCATTGTAGATGGTTGTGAGCCACCATGTGGTTGCTGAGAATTGAACTCAGGACCTCTGGAAGAACAGTCAGCATTCTTAACCTCTGAGTCATCACTCCAGCCCCGCTGACAGGAGTCTTTAAGAGGCAGACAAGCAGTGAACCTGTGATGTGGGGTTACCCTCTGTATTCTGTGAATACCATTGGTTAATAAAGAAGCTGCTTTCAGCCAATGGCTTAACAGAGTAAAGCCAGGTGGAAAATCCAAACAGAGATGTAGAGAGAGAGTAGGCAGAGTCAGGGAGACACCATTTAGCTGGCCGCCAAGGAGACAGATGCCCAGGAACCTCACCAGTAAACCACAAGCCTCGTGGTAAAATATAAAATAATAGAAATGGGCTAATTTAAGGTGTAAGAGCTAGATAGAAAGAAGCTAGAGCTAATAGGCCAAGCCGTGGTTTAATTAAAACAGATTCTGTGTGATTAATTCGAGCCCATGCAGCCAGGAACGAACAAGCAGCCTCCAACAACAAATCCGGTGTACCCAGGCTCACCCTGGATGGTGTCCAACCTGGTGGAGGCAGAATGTTTGCTTTGAGGAATGGCAGGGCATGCAACCTGCAAATCTTGGGAGGCTCACACCCAGGCTGGCAGACAGCTGTCGTATCCTGTGCTCTCGGGGCCTTGACTCACTTGTCCGCATGTCAGAGCACACAAGAGGAATCTAGTGCCAGAGCAGAGTTTGAATTCTGACTTTTCAAAAAACTAATCATAAGACAAGTGATTTGATCTCTGCAAATCTGTGTTCTCTCCCATGGGAGGCACTAGGGAAGTGTGTGTGTATATGTGTGTCTGTGTCTGTGTGTGTATCTATGTGTGATCTATGTGTCTCTGTGTGTGTGTATCTGTATGTGTGTGATCTATGTGTCTGGGTGTGTCTGTCTGGGTGTCTGTGTGTGCATAAGTATGTCTGTCTGTCTGTGTGTCTGTGTATCTGTGTCTGTGTGTCTGTGTATGTATTTGTGTCTGTGTGTCTCTGTGTGTATCTGTGCCTGTGTGTCCTGTGTGTCTGTGTGTGTGTATCTCTGTGTGTGTGGTATATGTGTCTCTGTGTATATGCCTGTGTGTTTATGTGTCCAGACTGAAGACATGTGTGCATATGTGTATGCAGTATGAAGGAATATTTGCATCAAGAGCTTTGGGGATCCTGCATGAAATAAGCATGCAGCTTTGGTCCTTCTCCCCATTATCTGGAATTCTAGAAGCCTGTCCCAGGGGACTCTGGGTGATTAGGGGAGGGCAGCCAGCCAATAGTTCACAAGGTGACTCTGGGAAATTCATTGTATTGAGTTCACTTTTTTCATCTGTCAAACGGGTCAACTTTTTCTTAAAGGTCCCCCTGGCCACAGTGGCCTGTGGATATTATTTGCCACTGCTGTTCACTACCCAGAATCAAATTTTTGTGAAGAATCAACCCATCCAGGCCAGTTTTATAATGGCAGCAAGGGCAACATTCACAGATGTGAGACCCCCTTCACCAAGATGTCCACAGAGAACACACTTGTCCCACGTATACGTTTATTGTTGATTCTGTGCACCAAATCTATCACAAGCAGCATCTAGCGAAGGACAGACCCCCAACCTGCCCACCAGGGCTCACATTCTATCAAACACCAGGGGCCTAGAAAGCTCTAAATGCACTGCCAAGCAGCTGGGACTATTTGCAAGGATCGTCTAGTAAGGCAACTGTGATTGTTCTAGAACGCAGAGCAAAGGCAGCGGGAGGCAAGAACACTCTCTCCTAGGGCTCTGGGACCAGGTGGTATTTCACCCTGCAGCTTCCTGCTGCCCTGTTTGCACCACACTGGTGGCTTCCTTCCTGAGATCACCATCATTCAATGGCCAGATCTGGTTCGGACCGTGGGGTCTGAGCCTGAACCTTGGAGTAGCTTGTAGCTAAGTCTAGGATACCGCAAGGCCTGCTCCCTGACTCTGGTTACTGGCCCGCTCTCCATATCCTTCCCAAGGCTGGAAGCAGATTCCAGAGTTCCATCTGGATGCCTGTGGGAACTGTAGAGCTGCCAGTGAAAAGCTCCAAGAACCCAGATGTATGTGTACAGCCTGTTTCCTCTGGTCCCGTGATGGCAGCCCTAGACAGCCCACGAGACTTTGTAGGGATGGTCTGCCGGGCACTGTGCAGAAAAGGCTCCAACACAGGAGGATAGCGGTGGGACTAAACTCACAAGGAGTCGAGAAGGTGAGAAGGAGATGCACCCAGGCGCCCAGCATCTGTTAACATGGTGACTCTCGTTAGCCTTTATTAACTTCTTACAGCATCCACTCCCCTCCCTGCTCCACATAAATGCTGGCAGTGGTAGTCCAGAAACAGTGAACAGAGAGGGTAAGAGGGCTGAACTCTGCGCTAGATCACAGTCTTCTATGGGCTACAGAGCTCATTCCAGCTCCAAGAATTGAGCAAATGCATTACCCTACTGGAAAGAACCCTCCACAGTGTTCCCAGCATCTCCCTCTCTGACGAGAAGATGTGGAGAAATCGAAAGGCCCATGGATAAGGAACAGGTCCGATGACACCATCTGGACACCGGAGTGGGGAGGAAGGAAGAGGCTCCCACGTCACTAGCACCCGTGAGCTTACTCACTGTCTGCGAGCTCCTAGGCAGGCCATGAGAGACAGCTGCTCCCAGGCCAGCCTTTGGACCAGTAAGGTATATCACTGTCGTGGCCAATGTCAGAAGTGATCACCAGCTCCAGGTTATAACTGGTAGGGGACCCTGGATACTGCGGATTTCACCTCTCCCCAGCCCTAGCTCCCTGAGGCTGGATGTAGCTCACAAGGATCATCAGATGATTCTGGGGAATGCAGCACCATGCCAAGCTTCCATCTGCCATAAAACAGGCCCAGCTCCCTCTCTTCAGCTCAGGGCCCACCAACAGGCCAGTCAGCAGAAACACGCTCACACTCTCTCTGAGGTTAGGGACAGCCTTGGTCCATGTGACATCAGATTCCCCAGGGCAGAGTGTGCTGGCATTCTTTCTGTATTATTCTGTTAGGGAACTGGAGGGGAGGCTCTCTGTTGCCCTGTAAGCACCACTGCAGGTTGGAGATACATTTCCTGAGTCCAGCAGTCAGCCGGAGTCCTTCCCTCATGGATAGGAAAACCTGACATTCTCTGTTTCACTCTTTTGTTTTTCGAGGGAGGGTTTTTATACACAGCCCTGGCTGTCCTGGAACTCACTCTGTAGACCAGGCTGGCCTCGAACTCAGAGGTCTGCCTGCCTCTGCCTTCCCATGCTGGGATTCAAGGTGTGTTCCCACTGTGTTCTACACAGGTGTATCAGTTGTCCTGAGAGAGCTAGGTCGCCTTGATCATAACTATTGAAAGTGTAGAAATAGGCACACGTGTAACAGAAAACACAGCCAAGGCAGATGTATTGTGACTGCCACTCAAAGAGAAGACTCTAAACTAAACCATGCAGCTCATAACCAGAACCCAGAGCAAAGTGAGCCCACGCCCTCACGTGAACTTCCAGCATGCCCTGAGATCTGCTGCCTCTGAACACCCTGTAGTCTGGCTACCAGCTGACTAGTGTTGATGAAGAATTTGACCACAATTCCTGGTTTCCATTACACTTGGTTATTCAATTGGAAGATCTCATCTCTGAGCTATTTTGCTTCCCCCAAATGGAGAATAAAAATTAGAAACAGATATGGGCATATAATACCCATACAAGGACGGGTTGAGGGGATGCGAATGAACAGAACAGGGCTTGTTGGCGGGGAAGAAGCGTGCTTGCACAGGCTACTGTAGTTCAGATGCTTCTGGTCTGGCCAGCTCAGTTGTCACTTGTCCTGACTGTACCTCTCTCTCTTTCTCACTCCCGACAGCTACACCTTTGCAAAAGCTGCCCACGGAGGGGTAGGGGAGGCTGGGAGGATCCCTCCCTAGCCCACGGAAAGCTAGGAAAAGTCCACAGCGTCTCCAGAAGTCCTTCAGAACAAGCTTGGAGTGGAGACACTGGGATGTCAGTTCTTGGTATCACGCTGATCACACAGGTATCTACTGAGACTGGGAGAATGCCTCAGGCTGCACGCGATCACTCCCGCTTTTCGTATGAACGTGATCCTTCAATACACAATCGGAAAGGGAAAGCGAAGGGCTGAGTACAAGGACCCTGGGCAGCAGGCTGCGTCCTTTAGCCAGTGGTAATGAGCTGACTTCCATGTTTTGAGAGCTTAGTGACTGCGTGATTTTATACTGTAAAGGGCTAAGATCTTCGGAGGGACACTGGTGGCTCTAAACATTCTTCTCCAAAGGGCTGGACTTGTTGCAACAGATGCTGATGACAGCTCTGCCCGAGGGACCAACAGCAGAGGTGTCTTTCTGACTTACAGCGCATGCTCCAAGCCAGTGCAGTGAGCTAAAAGATCCAAACCTTCTCACGGAGAGAACTTAAGACTGCCTTTGGCAGCAAAAACACAAGAGAGACCTCTCACTTGAGGGAACAGAGTCAAGCTATGTCACAAAAAGAGAAGCAAGAAAAAAAATCAACTTATATAATACTTTGAGGCGCGGGTTGTCCCGGCAGAGAACTATCTTATAACGTGAGCAGGCCTTGTCATCATTGAGTCTACAGAGGCTGAGAGGGGCTGGGTGCAAGGAAGCTTGTTCTCGGTAGCAGTGAGGATTTGACAGAGGGGCTTTCCGAAGGATCCCTCTGGGGTTGCTTGTTTGTTTGCTTAATGACCAATTCGATTTCTCTGGGAGTAAAAGGTCCTGAAATGCCTGCTTCTCTACAGAAGACTTGGGGGCTCAGGACAAGATGGAGGCATTTTCCCCTTGGGCCATTCGAGCTTGTCTGTGTGGACCCAGGTTTGGAAGCTGAATGATTGCACGCTTTGGTCCTCTGGTGTCATCTTTCCCCAGCCCTGCTTTAGCCTGCTTCCCTAACACTCATTGGGAGCCTTCATCTGCATCAGGACCGCCTGGCTCCTCTTCTTACAGCAACAGCAGCAGATGCAAGCAGCTAGGGAACAGGCCAAAGCAATGATGCCGATCACAATGGCAGCAATAGCCAGCCCCGTCTGGGCGTCAGTCATGCCCCAGGTATTGCGGTCATCGGAGACTTCCACGGTGGTCAGATCTGTGTAGTCTTCCATAGCGGTGGTGATCTCTGTGGTAGAGGAAATGGAGGTGGTGTCGGGATAGCTGGGTGACCCTGGCAGATTAGGGTCAGCATAGCGTGGCACTTCTGGGTAGCTAGATACTTCAGGACCCTGGGCACTGGGTCCAGGGATGATGTTGATGATGACGAGAGACTGGCCTCGGACATTGGCTGGGCTGGAACACACCGGAAGAGTGTCTGTCCCCAGTCGGGCTCTGTTGAGAAGGAGCCAGTTATGAAGTGGGAGGATGCCCGAGTCACACCTCCAGGGGTTGTCGTAGAGACGAAGCTCACACAGGTTCCCCAGGTGGTCAAAGATGCCCAAGGGCAAGTTCTCTAGGTTGTTGTTCTGCAGCTGGATGGTCGTGAGGCCGTTGACGTTGGCGAAGATGCTGCCGGGGAGCTGTCGGAGGCGGTTATTTTGGAGGGAGATATTCTGCAGGTTGGACAGGGCGCGGAAGACATTCCCATCCAGGTCCTGCAGAGCATTGGTATGGAGGGACAGTTCCCGCAGGTTCGTCAAGCCGTTGAAGGCTCCCGGGGAGATGGAGTTGAGCTGATTGTGACTAAGAATCAGAACTTGCAGCTGGGGCAGGTTGATGAAGGTGTTGTCGGGGAGGGAGGAGATGTGGTTGTTGTAGAGCCAAAGCTCCCGCAGGTTGGGCATAGGCCCAAAGACTCCTGGGGAGAGCTCCTTCAGGGAATTGCCAAAGAGCGTGAGCCTGTTAAGCTGGGGCAGCTGCATGAAGATGCCCGGGGGCAGCTGCGAGATGTGGTTGTTGGACAGATACAGCTTCTGGAGATTGCGGTTATTGTGGAACAGGCCGGGGGACAGTGTGCTGATCTGGTTCTCCTGGAGGGCCAGCTCCTGGAGGTTGCCGAGAGCATCAAACGTGCCCATGGGGATGTCTGAAAGCCTGTTCTCATACAGCCGGAGCACCTGGAGGTTGCCAAGATTCTGGAAGACCCTAGGTGGCAGGTGGGTGAAGCCGTTCTTGCCCAGGTTGAGCTTGGTGAGTCCCACCAGGTGGTCAAAGGTACCTTCGGGGATGTACTCCAGATTGTTGCCGTGCAACTGGAGTTCCTTAAGATTACTAAACCGGGAGAACTGTGCTGGCTGGATCTGAACCAGCTGGTTATTGGACAGAAGGAGGGATTCCAGATTGTCCATGCCCTGGAAGAGATCTGGAGGCAGCATCTGTATTTTGTTGTTGGCCAGGCTGAGGTAGCGCAGTGAGCCCAGGTTGCGGAAGGCACCCGGCATGATGTTGGACAGTTCGTTCTTCTCCATCCTCAGGGCAATGAGGGCTGAGACGTTGAGGAACGGGGTATCTGGGATCTCGGTGATGTGCGTATTGAGGATCTGCAGGCTCATAGCATTCCAGGGCAGAGGGGTGGGCACTGCCACAATCCGTGCCCCTGTACACTCTACCTGGGAGGCCCGGGAACAGGTACACTCGCTAGGGCAGCCATAGTAGGCCAAGCCTGCAGCCCAGGCTTGGCAGCCCACCAGCAAGAGGAGATAATATTTCGGTGACATGGCCTGTGTGGGAAGAGAGAAGACGTGTGAGTTGTGGTCATACATGGAACTCAACATTCTCTCTGCTTTGACCAGAGAGCCCCTGGCCTTCCCACGTCTGCACCCTTGCCTGAGCAATCGCCTCACCCAAAAGCTCCTTGTGCTTGCTCAAGCCTTCCTCCTGCTTCTGAGTCAAGTTCAAAGAAGTTTTCTAGATCTCATCAGTAGGTATTAGTCACCCCCTATGCCCCTTGTGTGGGTAATAACCCTGCCACCACCATGTCACAGCCAGCTAAGCTTAGGTGGATGTTATCTGTCTCCTTCCCTAGCCAACAAGCTTTTTAAGGGTGTTGTCTTCCATCTTGCGGCTTGCTAAGACAGAAACCGTATCTTTTTAAATATGTATTATATTGCTAATTAAGTCTTTGAGAATTTTTGTGCATACATATGTTGTATTTCGATCTTATTCCCGCCCCTCTTTGTTCCTCCTAGTTCTGCCTGGATCCACACCCCACCTCTCTACTCACCTCATCCCAATTCACGTCCTCTTTATTTTTAAAAGTAACCCACGGAGTCCAGTTTGTGCTGCCCATACACACATGGGTGTGGGGCCAGCCACTCGAGCAGAGTCTACCTACCAGGGGCCACACCCTTTAATAAAACTCAACTTTCAATAGCTCCTCGGCTAGGGGTGGGGGCTCACAAGCCCCTCCCCAAACCCTTGCTCGAATGTGGACTGGCTCGATTGTGTGCAGGTCTTAGGCAGCTGTGGCGAGTCCATGTCAGGCCCTCCCCCACCTGTGACTCTCATAGTCTCCCGCCCCCTCTTCAACTCCCTGAGGAACTGTACCATATGACCTCTATAGTTCTCAGCCCATGGCTGGCAGAACACGGCCTGGTTGGAAGGACCAGAAAGGCATTGAAAATAAGTCAGTCTATCAATAAGGTCTGAGCCTGGGATGTTCGGGCCACAGGACGGGACAGTGAGGGCCAGCAGAGGGAGGAGCTACTAACCCCAAGTAGCTCTTCCTGCCCTCTCTCCTGACCCTCCCTACCAGCTTCTGGCCACCAACACCACCCTGGTCCTTTCTCAGCCTGTCCACATGTGCTTCATTTAGATTTAATCCAAGCCATCTTCTGATAAGCAGCCACTGTCTGCACCACAGGCTGCCTGTCTGGAAGAGGAGGCTGGGCCTCAGCTGGTGCCTAGGGTGTGGCTCCTGGTGTGAGTCCTGGTTCCCACAGGAAAACACTGGGTGGCCTGGAGTAAGTCCCTGAAAACAAAGACACACTTAAAGTTGAAGGGTGTAAGTGGGTCCAGATGTCTCCTTAGACGCAGGAGCCAAATACACGGAAGGCTTGGGGTTTGAAGTCACCTATGGCAATGCTAAATACAGAGCCAAGGGCGTAGTTCCCTACGTGGGTATTCGAGGTACTGCTTGGCCTTGAATGAGAATTCTCAGGCCTCAAACTTCAGCTTCCTCATCTGCTAAGTGGGGGAGACAACCTCTGTTTTCTCTTGGGGTGGTTGTGTGGGTTAGATGGGAGAACAGACTCAAAGGGCATCCTATGCATGGCTGTATTAAGGCACGCTCTTGTTCCCAATTTACCCATAGTACACATTGATGGGCCCCTGAAGGCAGCAAGCCCTCCGCGTGTCTCTTGTCTGGCCGGCTTAGCTAAAGGACTAAGGATTTTTTTGTGTAGACATGAGAGGCCATGATCTCCGCCCACAGTTCAAAGGAGCCTATAACACCTGAGGCCTAAGGAGTTGCCACCGCTCATGATTTTATGGGGAGGCAGGCAGCAGGGAAACTGAGGCTCCAGTCTTAAGGCTCCGGTCCCCAGACTACCAGGTGAAAACTTTGGGTGGCGTGCAGTGCCCCTCCTAAGGGGCAAAACTGATGACAGGCAGGGATGCCAGTGGGCAGTCAAGGCACACACTGGGCAAGGTGGGGCACTCGGTAGCTTCTCTCGGTGCCCTGAGATGATGGGGTCCTGAGCCTAGCTCCCCACCCTGGCCTAGGCTTCCTACACCCCTTTCATTCCCTGACCAAAAAAGCAGCTGAGAAACACCCTATTATTATCTCCCACCCACAGAGCCCTCAACTTTTCATTTATTCTCCGCCCTTTCTTGCTGAACTTTGATGAAGGACTTGCCTAAGTATGCATGACTATGGGGGAAGACAAAAGAACTGCATGGCCCCTCGAGTCTGGTGGCAAAAGTCTAGGAGGCAGGTAAAGATGCGGACCACATTTAAACGGCGAGTCAGGTCCAAAAAGAGAGAGAAAATTTTTTACACAGAGGACACACAGATCCAAGCATAGTGACTCAAGTTGAGGCAGGAAGATTCCCGCAAGCCTGGGGCTAGCTTGAACTATGGAGTGAGAGCTTGTCAAAAAAAAAAAATTAAGAAAATTAATTAAAAAGTCTAGGTACAAAGAGCTCTGTCAACCCAGTGCTGGGTGAGTGGAGACAGGTGGACCCTGGGAGCTCTCCAGCTGGACAGCCAGCCTAGCAGAATGGAGGTGCTCCAGGTACAGTGGAAGACTTTATCTCAAAATTAAGAAGGAGTGTAATCAAGAAAGACACGTGAAGTTGACCTCTGACCTCCGCGTGTGTACCCAAAGGCACAAGGGCACACCTCCCACCCCATCCCTAACAAACACACACACAAAGAGAGCACAGGAAAAAATGGCTCCATCTCCAAAATGTCAGGTTTTGTGTTGACAAGAACAAGGAAACAACGCTGCAACAAAAGCTAACAGTCTCAAGAGAAGTAGGGAGTGTGGTGGGGAAGGGGTGTTGGTCTTACTCAGAAGCCCCGGATCAGGCCCCTTCTTATTGTGCCATGCTTGGTTCCACTCTGAACGTTAAAGCTAATGGCAAACTGGTTTCCTTTTTTTATGGCTTTTTTCCAAGACAGGGTTTCGCTGCAGTTTTAGAGCCTGTTCTGGAACTAGCTCTTGTAGACCAGGCTGGTCTCGAACTCACAGAGATCCACCTGCCTCTGCCTCCCGAGTGCTGGGATTAAAGGCGTGCGCCACCACCGCCCGGCTGACAAACTGGTTTCTTACAGAACTCCTACATCAGGGGTTCTCAACCTTCCTAACGCTGCGACCCTCTAATACAGTTCCTCACATTATGGTAACCGTAAGATTATTTTCGTTGCTACTCCATCACTGTAACTTTTGAGAACCAGTGGCCTGGAGGCTGGCGAGAGGAATAGACCACCCAAGCATCCACTGAAGGAGCAGCAGAGAGATAGCCGGAAGGAGACAGAGAATCCACGAGCCTTTCCAGAGTGTGAGGAACTGCCAGAGACCAACACCAGCGTGCCTGGGTTGTGGCGCAGCCGAGTTCAGTTCACACTTAGTGTGCACAGTCTCACCGAGGCAGCAAGCTCCGTGTTCAAGCATAGCTGCGCACTTTCAGACTGAGACGAAGAGAAGATTCCTCCCCGCACCCCGAGCAAGCAGTCAGTGGAGAAGACAGCAGATGCCCAGCCCGTGGCTAAGACTTCAGGTTCCATGGCAGAGTCCCAGAGAATGAAAGTGAGAACCACCCATCTTCCAGAAGGCTGGGCAGTCAGGGCTTGTGTCTGTCCATCCCCTTGGTAGATGTGTGTGAGACTCACCCCGGCTGAGTCTGAACTACTAAGTTTTCATAAATATTCCTTTGCCCAGCTCCAAGGACGATGTCATAGCCCAAGTAATGGAGAGTGATTATGTGCCCGTCACCCGGAAGCCCTGACTGTTGCTTTTCTTATAGGAAGCAGCTCCTTTGAGGACCAATCCCCCAGCTAGGCAGGGATATCAGGCCAGCCCCGTGAAGACTCTGAGCTCTGGAGCTGTGTGTGTGTGTGTGTGTGTGTGTGTGTGTGTGTGTGGTGGTGGTGGTGGTGGTGGTGGTGGAAGGGTTGGTGGTAGCCTAGGAGGAAAACCAAAGAGATATTTCCCTGTGGGAACAGGCATTGCTGTCTAAAATGGACCACACTCAGCACAACAAATATTTCAAGAATCCCCAATGTCTTTTTATAAATCCTCCCCCCTCTGCTGGGCCCACCCAGTGCTGCCTGCAGCTGTTTCCAGTTTTCCAGTGGTTGTGACAGCTGGAGCCCCGCCTCTCCCACCTGCCAGCTCCTGACCCTTGCAGAGAGCACCACGAAGGTGCCCTACACCAGCAGATGCAGCACTCAAAGCCGGCCTGGGGCTAGACCTTAAACTCTGGGCAGTGCTGCAGCCCATGGCCCTTGGCCTCAAGGAGACCGCCGATGTCGGCCTAATAGCCCACGCTGCCCAGTGCTGCTTGGCAGCCACGACAATGGCAGTTAAAGGCCCTCAAAGCTGCCCTAATTACAGCCTCCTCCTCCAGGCATTGAGCGCGTCCTCAATCATTTGGGCCAGCCCCTGGGGAGGGGGGGACACCTGGCGTCAGTCGGACCCATGTAGTCAGAAAAGCTGGGCAGACAGACAGAAGGACGGACGGCTCACCTGGACATGGACGCAGCCCCTCCCCAGGAGTGGAAACGATTGAACAGGGTGCTGGCTGTGGGTCTCTTTGCAGAAACACCCTGTGACTCACAAGCGAACACATAATTAGCTTTGAAGCCCTGGACGTCTCTGCTTGGGAGCTGGGCTTTCTTGGATTCGTACCATTGTTCATGTTCCCTAAGCACAGTGTTCCCTGGAAAGAGACTCCTTATTCCAAGGCCACAAAGTGAGAGTTTTGAAGAGATCCAGGGAGACACCTATTCTACAGTGGTCTTGACATTAGCAAGCCGAGTTTAGGTAAATACTGCAGGCCTTGGCTTTCCCTTCTGGAAAAGCTTCCGAAGCCCTTATAGCTCTAGTGTTGTCTCTGCTAAAGGCAAAAAGGAACCTAAAATGAAGACTTAGTTTTCTTCCGTCCCCTCTTCCCCATGAAGAGCCGCCCACCTAGGTCCCACTGTACCCCAAGGCTTGAAAACCCTAACTCTCTCACACCTGCATGTTTCAGAAGTTTCCCTGACAGGACAATCCCATGAATTAACCACTGTATCTTCACAAAGCCCAAGACCTGAGAAGACCCTAAAGGGCCTCTCCCGCCCTTCTCAGTGCACCAGAAGGAACGGAGGCCCACAAAGAGGATCTTATTTCATGCCCGTGACCCTTGCTGAAGATGGCTTCCTAATCAAGGCCTCTTCTGGAGTGAGATGGCCCCTAAGCCAAGCCAGAGAGGCCAGGCTTGGGCCTGCCCTGCCCAGCCCCACCCGTGTTGTCCTCAGACTGGCTGCTCTTGGGTGCAGTCTAAGAGGCGTGAAATCAGAAGAGGCTGGACCTGGTCAGACCTCGGGACCTCTCTCTCTCTCTCTCTCTCTCTCTCTCTCTCTCTCTCTCTCTCTCTCACACACACACACACACACACACACACACACACACACACACACACACACGATCTGATCTCCCAGCATCACTACTACGACTATGAAGAGACCTAATGTGTTTCTGGGACCAAAGTGGGTTCCCAATAAAAGAAAGTGAGGCTGGTTATTGCTAGCTTGTCATTGAGCAAAATCCAATCTCTGGGGGCTCCACCCACAGCGCTCCTAACCTCTAGGTTGGGCTAAGACCTACACTCATACACACAGGAAGGAACTCCAACTCCAGTGCACATAGACCACACTCAGAAGTATCTAGAATATGGTCTAGACTACGCTCATAGCCTGTGTTATTTAGTCACCAAGAACAGAGAAAGCACGGGAATAGGAGAGACCGAAGGCTGTTTCGTCTTCTGGACACACCTGGAGTCTGCCACGTGTACTAGTTGAGCCTACAAGCTGTTTCCAGATAGAGTTCATGGAATCCGGGACAGCATCAGTACAAGGGCCCTTTGAAGTCATCAGGTCAGACCATTTGGCTGTTTTGTAGTTGAGAAATTGATGGGTCCGTAGAGAAGAAAGAACTCACCCAAGGTCACACAGGCCATCGAAGACTCAACACGGAGCTCGGTGAACCTCTGGACCTCCCCATGGGCTACTACAGGGCCTTGTCTGTGAGAGTTACCACCTTGGGCAGTGTCAGGGAGAGAGAGGGAGACACCTTGTCCCTCCCCCTAACCTGACTGGCCAATATACAATCACCCTCCACCATCCAGTATTATTAGCCAAGTCCAAGTCCTCCCCCAACTCACTCCGCAAGGCTGCCCTGATGATGTGCTGTTAAGGGTTAACGGAGTAACCTGGAAGAGGGGAGAGAAGTTCAGAAGGAGGGGGCACCAGAAGGGTTGAATTTGGTAATCTCTGCATACATAGCCCATGATTTAGGAACACTAGTACACCAGAGACAATGGACCCTTGAATCCCACAGTAAGACTGTCACAACCACATCCTCCAGGGCCCTTCAAAGCCAAAATATTGTTCATTGTTTTGTTTTTGAAAAAGAGAATAAATAAGAAAAAGCAATTTCTCCCCAGGCCCTCTGTGGGGACCCTCCCAAGCCTGGGGTAGGCCCAGCCTGGCTTCCTGCAGAGGCCAGAGCAGGGCTGTAATTTGCTAGACAAGAGCTGGAAGAGCACAAACTGCCTGGCACCATGGCAGACGTCAGGAAGTGGGGCCTTCTTATAAGAAGTCACAGAGCACAGAGACGGAGGCTGCTTCCCAGTGGAGCAATGGGAGGCTCCTTCCCAGTGGAGCACTGGTCTGAAGCAGCGGAAAACGTTGTGGTCTCCGATCAGAACATCTCAGAAGCAACCCTGTCCTGCATCCCACAGCCAAGGCAGGCACCGGCACGGGCAGCTTCAGCGGCTCTACTGTGGTCAGGAGTCAGGAAGCAAACTCTCATCTGTAATCACAGCTTTCGTGTGTGCGCTGGCAGGACAAAGTCTGGGCAACGTCTTTCCCAGCTGCCATAGCTGCACTTCTGGGGTGACTTCCACCCATGCCTCACAGCCTCCATTTGCAGAGCTAACCTGGGGACTAGCTAGCCAGCCTTGGGACGGGTCTCCCTCTACTTGCTGTGGGGTCTTCTCAGAGCTCTTCCTGGCCAGGACCCTCTCACGTGCCTCCCCTGCCACTGTCCCTGCTGAGACCAACAGCTGACTCACGACCACAGGACAATTGGACTGTCTGGCCCTGAATTTACTCCAGATGTTCAGGCAATGCAGAAAGGGGAAAAAAAAAAGACCCAGTAAGGGAATTTCCAAGTCACAGAGCGGGCTCAGCCGCACATCTGAGAGCTGCCTGCTATAGGTAGTGGCAGCGAGCTACCCTGGAAGAGAGGCTGGCGCGGGGGAAGGGGGGACAGGCAACACTCAGTGAGCACATGTGTCATCATGGGAGTCATGAGTCTGTGCTGGGGCAGTGCATTGGACCCTAAAGGTAGAATGGCTCAGGTTGAAAGGTTCAGAAGCCTCTGCTTTTCCACAGTTGGTTCCTATGCCTGTGTGCAGAGACTCAGGTAAGGATGGGATTAAAACCCACCCAGTCAGCTCCCTGATCCTCAGCCCTGGAATACATACATACATACATACACACATACATGTATATATATACATATACATATATGCATGTATGCATATATACGCACGCACATATACACACGCGTGTATGCATATATGCACATGTACATATATGCATGAATGCATGCATCTACATATATACGTATATGTATACACACACAGCACCCAATTCTCATCACAAATCCACCTCCAGCCACTCCTTCCCAAACTCATCAGTTCCCCTGACCTAGGCCCTGTGACACTTCGAGGTGACCAGAATGGGACCATCTAAGCCACACACAGAGCTAGAATCTGGACACCTGAGCTGATAGTTGGATTACATATTGGCATTCCTAAAGAGAGACCGCACATCCGTTGGAATCCAGCAGACAACCCTGTCAATCTATGACAGAGAGCTGACTTCTCCCAGGCAGAAACCCCGTGAGGCAAAGTGCACCATCCTGGACAGATCTCTGCGCAAGGACCCCTATAAGCAGCCACCTCAGTAGGTGCAAAAAAAAATTATACAGGTTCCAACAGCTGAAACCTAAGAGAAACTCCTACCCTTGTGGATCTGATATCCTGGAAGAGGTAAACCTTGTACTTCAGTCAACTTTCAACTAATTCCCTGCATGTCAAAAGTTTTCCCGGCTGCACCCCAAGCTGACTCCACAGACCATAAAGACAAGGGAAGCAAACAAGGGCATCAAGATACACAGCTAGACCCTGGGACCGGAGCAGTGGGGGGCAGGCTCTCCCAGCTCCTGCGCAGGCTGTACCTGTCCAGGTCCTCAGAGCATCCCAGGCACGAGCCAGCCCTGCCCCTTCTGGAATCTCTCCCGGGATCCTCTGGTCAGCCGGGAGGTGGGGCGCGGCCGGGAGGGAAGGGCTGGCACTCACTTACCAGCAGCTCCACGCGGCTGCCCGGTCAACAAGAGGGAGCCGGTGAGGAGAGGAGGAGGACCTGGCGGGCTCAAGGCTGCAGCATGAGTGCGGGCCTTCTGGGTCCTCCCTGTCATTTAAATATCCCCTCGTGAGTCACCGCAGGGGGCAGTGTCGGCCTGCGGGGCGGGGCACCCGACTCTGGGCACATCATCAGGGAACTGCGTTCAAGCTCAAGCGGTGTTCATTGACTGAATTGGAAAATAAGTTTCTCTCCCCCACCCCGCCCCGCCCTTCCCCATCTTCCCCGAATTTGTACTCTGTGTCCACTGTGATGCTGGAAAGGGGGTTTTCTGCCACCTCGTTGAATCTGAGTGACTGAGACCCTGTACTTGCCTGAGGCACCAGCCCAGGGGTGGTTCAAGTCCTGTTTTCTGTGGCCATTCTCGTCTTCCTCCTCCTCTCCCCCTCCCTTCCCTTCCCCCTAATTCTAAAGTTTGTATAAAGAAATAGCTCCTATTTTCCAGAAAATATGCAAGACCAATATAAGGAATACTCAGATACTTCACCCAATTCTGCCACGGCTAACATTTTAGAAAAGACATTTATTTTAAGTTCCAAGGAAGAACCATGGCTCTTCCAAAAGCAGCCCTTCATGTCCCTCTGAGGCCATCTTCCCTGGACTGTGACAGCCATGGAGATGGTGACTGAGATTGAGGTTTCTCCACACCTCCCACCTCTGCATCAGAGCCTGAGCCTGCCCTGCTGCCCCTACCCTGGTAGGGAACCAAGATACAGTTTCTCTTCAAGGTCATCCCCCCCCCAAAGAGATTCTGGGGAAGAAGAAAGGGTTGTCACAGTTGGGGAGGGGCTTCGCGACCCTCAAACAAAGCAGGAACCACTTAGAGACTGAAGGTGACTTGACTCAGTTCACCTTCTCCACCAAGCGGCGAGAGCGGTGCTTGCACCCAGCACCTGGTGGAACGCCAAGAGCCTTAATTAATGTTTGCAGAGAGCTTTAAGATCTGCCATGAAAGGAGGACATAAAAGTGCCGGGTTATTACTGAAACAGTCATTTGGGTGCTCAAACCCAACAGCCTGAATCACGCCTCACCATGGCACTATGAATCATGGCCAGAGACAAGTGTCCTGGCTGTTAAACAAGGAGCCTGGGAGCTCGGCCGCCACACCCCCAGCACCAGCTCTCGGGGCCTCAGACTCCTCTCCCACTAATAGCCCCCAGAAGAACTCCTCCCTTCTCACCCCCCACAACCCTGGTCCACCTCTTGAACCCAAAGGCATCAATTTCCTGCCTGTGTCCCTTCAAAAATAAGAATATTTTGTGTGTCCTGTTTCCTTCATCCAGTTCCTACACACAGTCAGAGTGCTTGGCTCTGTGCTGAGAGCTGTAGTCGACAGAGGACGCATGTCAGGATGGCCGTCCAAGCGGCACGACTGTAGATGGATGTCAGGAAGGACCTGGGCTGCATTTCTCTATTGCTTCCTCTACACTTTGTTTTCAACCATACTACGGTGATGTTCAGGGCTTGGTGATTTGTGTGTGTGTGTGTGTGTGTGTGTGTGTGTGTGTGTGTGTGTGTAGCTGCCCAGTGCTTTGCAGGCTCAGATACCCAAGAGCATCTCTGGTCTCTATCCTCTAAAAGCCAGCAGCATCACTTGTGTAGTGGTGACAACAGAAAATGTCCTGAGACATTGCCAAATATCGCCTTCCATGGGGAGGGGTGACGGAGGGTCTGTCGATGGTTCTCTATACTGCAAATGATGTCATTGTCTCCAACACAAGACCCAGGCCCATGCTGACTCCCCAGAGGTCACACATCAAGGGGCAGAGAGGATCCAAATTTGTGGCTTCTATGCTGTTCATATATCCAAAGGACTAATTGCTCAGACAGGCTATGACTTCAAGAGATTAAAAACACCGCACAGTTTCGACAGGCTCTGTGGCGGGAGAACCGTGAACAGAGGGTGGGGTATGAAAGACTGAGCAGTCCTTGGGGTAAGGGTGGAAGGAAGCGTTTGCAGGTTTGCAGGCACGGTGCTGAAACACAACGGAGCGGATAAGGGAAACCATCAAGGTGGAACAAGGAAGCAAATGTCGCATTTGTCTGAAGCCCAGATTTGGGATGGAGTTGAGGGAGCCTGGGATGCCTTGTGTGTGTGGCCTTGCAGGCAGTGGGGAGGGACAAGAAGCATGAGCAGAGCTATCTGTAGGACGCTGGCATGGGGAGCGGGGGCCAAGTTTCTGGTTCTCATACTAACACGCAGCTGATGTACGGTAACCAGGACATGCAGGAGGACCACCCTGGGTGCCCTGCCCATCCTCCTACACGTGCGCTTCCTCAAGTATGAGAAAGCAAGCTGGTGCCCAGTCAGCCCCCACAAGTGAGGCACATTACCACTAAAAGGAAAAGTCTGACTCACCCGCCCTAGGCCCTGTGGCCTCAGGGCACACTTTCTGTCTATCCTGTGGGGGAGAACCAGAAGGGCCAGGTTTGCTGAAGAGCTCAAGGGAAATCTGTCCCCCTCCCCCAAACCCACGTGGATCTATTTTGGTTAAGAAGGGTACAGGGGAGCTGGAGATGGTTCTATGGGTCAAAGTCCTTGCAACACAAGCCTCACAGCCGGAGATGGATCCACAGAACTGGATGAAAAAGCCGCCCGCACCCCTGCAGTCTCAAACCTCCTAAGTCAAGATAGGAGCAGGAGACAGCAGAGGCACCTGGGAGTTCGTAGGTCAGTCAGCCTGGAGCTGCTGCAGAGCAGGAATGGAAGATTCCCTCAGCAAGGCAGAAAGAGAGAAGGCCTCCCAAAAGGTGTCTTCTGGCTTGTGTATGCACGCGGTATGCTAGCACCCAGACTCACACAACAAATCTCATACACATGAACTTTCTCTCTTGGACACACAGACACACAGGCAGACAGACAGACACACACACACACACACACACACACACACACACGAAGGATGGGGCAGTTAGGACTCTGGGATCCAGCTTCTGTTCTGTGGAGGAAATCCCTCTTAGCACCCTACCACATGGCATTGTCATCCCATGGATCTCCCAGTAGAGTGACAAAATGAAAAGGACAGCGAGCACCGAAGGCTGCAAGGCTGTGGGCAACACAACAACCTAGTTTGTTCTACCACAGGCAGGATGTGTAAAGCCATTTGCCAGGGTCGTCTCACTCCCACAGGATGACGGTGAACGTACCTGTGCTCAAGAGTGTTCGGAACGGATGCCTGGCATCTGTCTTCCTCAGACAGAAAACCGGGGAGGGAAAAAAAGGACTTGGACCCATGTATGGGGCCAAAAGAATTAAAATTCGTCCAGGAAGCTGGGCGGTGGTGGAGCACAACCTTTAATCCCAGCACTCAGGAGGTAGAGGCAGGCGGATCTCTGTGAGTTCGAGGCCAGCCTGGTCTACAGAGTGAGTTCCAGGACATGCTCCAAAGCTACACAAAGAAACCCTGTCTTGGAAAACCAAGGGAAAGAAAACCAACAACAACACAACTTACCACAGTGGGGGTAAGGATAGTTGAGGCTCTAACTGCCAGAGGAGACCCCTCCCAGGGGAACAGTGTGATGACCTGCCACTCTCCCTGCTAGCCCTGCACAGCACTTTTCCTGGCCCTTGTTCCAGCTTTTCTACAGATGACAGCATGGCTACAGCAAGGTAGCAGTCGTTTCTGGATGCATTATCACCATGCTGTAGAGCAACACTGTTCCTCAGTTACACCTCAGCCTATGGGGAACAATCTTGCTGGCTGTCAATCATGGCCCCCCAGAAGTCAGAGGACAGAACAAAGCCCCAGCATCCCCTTTAAATAGCCTTCAAAGCCGTTCCACCTCTCTCCTTCTAGGTCCCCTCAACTCACGCCACCCCTCGCCATGATCCCTCCATCTCTGAGGCAGCAATGGTCATGGGCCTCTAAGGTGCCAATGGGTGGCTTATGGTTCTCAGCTATTCTCTGAAGTCTAGTTTGAGTCCCAAAGCTGTGAATCTCAAAGAGATTCGTAGATACAGGTTGTTTGTGTTTTGTTTGTTTAAGACAGGGTCTCACTATGTAGCCCCTGGCTGTCCTGGAACTCAATGTGTAGACCTCGAACTCACAGAGATCCACCTGCCTCTGCTTTCCAAGTGCTGGGATTAAAGGCATGTGCCACCACCACTGTCTGACTATAAATAAAGTTATGTTTCTATTCTGCCTTCTATTAAACTGAAGTCTGCCTTCCTGGAATCCCCACCCATGGGCTCTGTCCCATCTAGGGACTATATTATCATGCCTGCTCTCACCTGGAGGCCACTTTCACGAGTAGGGCCCATGAGCGGGCTCACTCCATCAAAGCCCTTGTCTTTCCCCCTACCATTGTACTCACCACCTCCCCTCCCCACTCTAAGCACCAGCATTCATTCAACAAACTCTGTGCCAGGTCTCAGACTAGGCATTAACACACAGGAATGAATTCATGCTAAGAGAACTCAAACACCTCAACAATCAAGTTCCATGGGGCTTTTGAGGGCCACGGAACAAGGCTTTCTCACAGAGCAGACGCTCGAACTGCTCCTGATGGAATGAGGAGGTATTCGGACATTCTGGGAAGAAGCAAGGGCATCTGTAAAGGCACAGAGGTGTGCACAGTAAGCATACCCTGCGTGTGAGAAACAGAATAGCAATCCCTAGAGCAGGGTCATGTCAGAAGCAGAATCGCCATCCAGGGGGAGGGCAAGGCCAGCGTAGGAAGAGTGTCGCCAAATATGCATTCTGCAAGATGCAGCAACATTCAGCTGTTGTGTGTGTGTGTGTGTGTGTGTGTGTGTGTGTGTGTGTGTGATCAGATCAGTGTGCCGTGGTGGCTTCCATGGGACATCTGGCAGTGTCTAAATACATTTTTGTTCTCCTCATTTGGAAAAGGATACTGGCGTCTAGGGGATGGAAGAAGAGACTCTGTGAAAAGCCCTGTGATGTATAGGACAGCCCCCAGACAGACAACTCTTTGGTCTGGGAAATTGCTGATGCCGAGGAGAAGAACGGCTGATGTGGAAGATGGATAGTTTGGGTGACAGTGTAGAGTGTGG